GCATTAGGGTTGAAGTTCAATAGTACTAGGATTCGACGACAGAATGTTGAATAAGTTCCTTGCTTCCCTTTTAAAGATGAGAGGTGTGCATAAATGCTCTATCCTGGCGTGCATTATTCATGATGATTTCAATGTTGTTAAAAATGAGTTGTAGGCATTTTTCAGTAGATGGTGGGAAGAGCAAAGTCCAGAAATTCAAGAAGAAGTACGAAAACTTGTTGACTCCGGCCAGTTGGAATTCGTGTACGCTGGTTTTTTGTAATCTACTATCCATATCCTTTACTAGAAAAGTTTGGCATGAAACTGTTTTAATGACTATGGGTGCAGAAATGGTGGCTGGTGTATGCATGATGAAGCAACTACTCATTATGTAGACATGATTGACCAAACAACTCTTGGCCATCAACTTTTAAAGAGTCAATTTAATAAAACTCCTCGTGCCGGATGGCAGATTGATCCATTTGGACACTCTGCAGTGCAAGCTTATCTACTTGGGGCCGAGGTATTTAAAAGACAGTGGTCTGTCAATTTAACATAATCCCAGTCCATGGACTGGATGTTGCACGTTCATATATCATTAAGTTTTTGTTCTTATGTCATCTTTCATTTACTTGTTTATTGTTTCTATAGCTGGGATTTGATTCCATTCATTTTGCACGGATTGATTATCAAGACAGAGCAATACGTAAGGAAGATAAATCTCTTGAAGTTATATGGCAGGCTTCCAGGACATTTGGCTCCTCTTCTCAGGTTAGGAAATTAAACTGCTGGTCCATACACGTTCTTTGTGTTAAAATGCTTCATTTGATTAATTTGAGATTTGGATCCTTGCAGATATTTGCCAATGCATTTCCTGTTCATTATGGCGCACCAGATGGGTTTGATTTTGAAGTAGATGAAGACTTCATTCCAGTCCAGGTTCCATCTTAAGCAAACATCAGTTAGTTCCAAAAATTTTCCCATGTTTGTATAAACCCATACATAAGCTTCTCTACTTGTTAAAAATGCAGGACAATCCCCTTCTTTTTGACTTCAATGTTGAAACAAGAGTTAATGATTTTATTAATGCCTCAATGATTCAGGTAAATTCCCAAGTTTCCCTTATTTCTTATATTCAACAGTTACTAAATCTTCTTATTGACAAATGCATGGATTTAGAAGGTAAGACTGAGTATGCAGTGGATGACCATTTTGTCTTTGATACACAGGCAAATGTGACTAGAAATAATCATATTATGTGGACGATGGGTGATGACTTCAAATATCAATATGCTGAGTCTTGGTTCAAGCAAATGGACAAACTGATTCATTACGTTAACAAGGTATTATTTTTCTGCTTCTTTGTTTTTTGGAGGAGACACTGAGAAGAAGGATGACTTCAGATAGAAAACTGGCAAATTTGGAAAATAATTTCCTTCAACAAACTAATTTTATTTCAATTTATTTTTCTTCCCAGAAGCTTCTTCATGTATCATCATAAATTTCCATAATTTCTTTGGTGGATCTCTTATTACCTGAAGAAAATATATTATGTCACCGCAAAACCCACTCGACTAACAATGAAGACATTGAGGAGACAGAAAACCAGAAAGGACTCGAAGCAAAATTTTCTAAAACTTTGTTCGAAGCCACATATGTAATAATGAAAGAAACTTAGAGAAAGTGGGATTTCTTTCGTAAACCTCTGACGATTTGAAACCATCTTCAACTATTAAAAAGCTGCCGTTTGGAAATGCATGTTCGAATGAATCAGTTATTAATTTCTGAAACTGAATCAGTTCATAATCTGGAGAAAGAATCTCCAAGATATCCAATCGTAAGGTATCTCATGTTGAAATCTATAACGACAATTCTACCTCTAAGAAAGCTTAATTAAACAGGATGGCCGAGTGAATGCATTGTATTCTACTCCTTCTATCTATACCGATGCAAAGCGTGCCGCCAGTAAATCTTGGCCTCTAAAAACTGATGATTATTTCCCGTGAGCGCTTCTTAACTCTTTTCTGATTTCTTCTGTTCTATTTGATTTGATCCACAAAACTGATTTTATTTCTGTTGATTTTCCATAGATATGCTGATAGAGCGAATGCATACTGGACTGGTTATTTTACAAGTCGACCAGCCTTTAAGCAATACATTCGTTTTCTGAGTGGATATTATCTGGTAATACATTCTAGGACTTGATCATGTCTCCTAGCTTTTATCGTGTAATACTCAAGCTGGTTTTGAATTGTATTAGAGTTAATTATGGANCTTCGGAGAAAAGAAGAAACTTTACATTATTTCCTAGTAAAATTTTGTATTTGTTATCTCAATCCAAATGTGAAAAAGCAAGAACATCGTAAAGCATAAAATCATTAGATTTGTTGTCTTCATTCTTTGGCATAACTCTCATGATGATTTCATAATACATCGGCCAGACCCATCCCAAACAAACACGGGTGAAAATTGAAAAGAAAATTAAGGGGCCCGCTACTAGATAACATAGAAGCGGTGTTCTTATCTATTTGGTTGGAACATATTCGTTTGACTTAGTAAACTCCAACAATTATTGAGGAGAAACCAATGAACATTACAATCTTTGAGTAGTAGAATATATAGTATCTGTCAAAACCCATAAAACCAAATCTTGGTTGGGTTTGAAAATGGAAACTTTAGCTCATTCCTTTACAGTTTTACTCTGCATTGTATCTGTTCTTTGTTCATATGAAGTTATTGGTGTGGATGGCTATATTAAATACAACACTCGAAGTGGCATTGTTGATGGCAAATTGAATGTTCATTTGGTTCCCCATTCACACGATGATGTTGGCTGGCTCAAGACAATTGATCAGTACTATGTTGGATCAAATAACAGTATTCAGGTGTGCTTAATAAGTTCTTATGCAGTGTATGGGCGGACCGGAATTAGTTTTTCTGATTCTGGGCATTTTAATGGATGCAGGGTGCTTGTGTGGAAAATGTTTTGGACTCGGTTGTTATGTCATTGAGCCTCAATCCTAACAGGAAATTCATATTTGCTGAAATGGTAGCAATTTTGTGTTCAATGTTCTATTTCTTCGGGATTAAATCAATAAACATCTGAAATTAAGAGAGAATTGCAAGTTTTGAGTTATTTAGGTTGATCAAAACTTAGGTCTTAGCGACTAGGCTTGGTTGAAAGGAGTCACAGAGTCAGTGTATAACTAGTCCCCAATGGTATTTCATTAATGAAACTGTTTGCAGGCTGAAAAGTTGTGCTTAATATAATTCGATGGTCAAATTTAGTTTATATCAGTTTGCTTTTCTTAATGAAATTGTTTTTGACCATCCATTACACCCCTTCTCCTCCATATGCCAAATAGCAGGTAAAATATAGATCTCTGCCTGATTTTATGATGTGAAATGTGAGCTACTAAAGATCTGCATTGTGTCCTGTGGATCCACCAACCTGTACTGAGGATTAGGAAAATTTCAGGGTCTATTTAGACTCTTCCTTTTCTTTGTTGTGTTGGTTTTGAAATCAGTCCTATACTCTATACGATTTTGCGTTTATGTGTTTCACACTAAAAGTGATCTTATAATGAAAATAACTTGCCAATGTAATAAGTGATGCGGGAAAAAATTATCATCGAGCAAGTATGAATGCAGAATACTCTGAGTAAATTGTTAGTTAGCACTGCATCAGCTCTCAGCTCTACTCAACTGATAAGCAAACAACAAATCAATAGAAAAGAAGAGGAAAATCCTTGGCATACAGAGCTGAGTGTAAAAATACACTGTGACGAGCATATGCATTAGGGTTGAAGTTCAATAGTACTAGGATTCGACGACAGAATGTTGAATAAGTTCCTTGCTTCCCTTTTAAAGATGAGAG